AGGGGGGGCGGGGTGTGGATTTTGCAAGGAATCAGCATGTTAGAAAGGTGGGGTCCAGTGCTAAGTGGAGGTGGAGTTACACTGCCCTTGAAGGATTGAAGGGTGAGGGGCGAGGGCTGACTTCTGACATTGTCTGTGTGTGACAATTCATGCAAACTAGAACTAACCTGGAAGAGAGCCCCCCTGGGGCCACAGATGTACCCCCTTTTCCTGTGGGCCCCCCTCCCCCAAGCACCTCTTGCTGTGTGGAGCAGGGGCACGGCTGTTAGGAAAAGTGGCTGCTGCTGGCCCTGAGGGTGAATGGCCCACCCTGCTGCCTTCCACAGGAAACCTGACCTGAGGGGCAGACCGGGAAGGAAGCAGGTGGGTGTGGAGCCAAGAAGCTGGGAAGGGTGGCACGGGACATCCGAAAGGGGGTGCAGAGGGGGCTGTGGGCTGGGAAGCAGTCTAACCCTGTTCCCACCTCCTCTTCTACAGGCCAGGGATTTGCTGCCGGCCCTCCTGTGCCCGCTGCCCATCAGAGTCCATCTCAGCTCTCAAAGGCAACCTCCTCCTAAAGCTCCCCTTCGTCCTAATGTGACCGTGGGCGAGGTAATGAACCTCAGTTTGTTTCAGCCTTAAAATGGGATAATAGAAACCACTTCAGGCAATTGTTGTGAGGATGGAGTAAAGGATGCAAAATGCTGATTAGCCCCTGGCACAGAGTAAACAGAAGTTTGCTCTGGTTGTTCTTTCCCCTGTGGCGTTGTGTGTACCTGCTGGGAGCTCTAGCCCCATTCTCCCCGGCTTTGTCTCTGTCTTACCCCCTAGACTTTGAGCTCCTTGTGGGCAGGGCCCATCCCTTTTCTACTTCAGGCGTCTCCTCCCGCCCCCAAGATCCTGTGGTCTTTCAAGGGCTTGCCCAGAGGAGGGCTGGAGAGAGGCACTTAGAATGGTCCAATGAAATTGCTGCTGTAGATGGGAGATAGAAACACAAGATTTGCCTGTGTCCTGGAGGAGCTCAGAGACTACATGAGGAGCTGAGAGAGACACAGGGGCAAAGAGAAACACGTGCTCCATCTTGAGACACTGGCTGTACTTCTGGAGCTCAGGGGAAGGGAACAGCGATGGGCTGGAGAGGCGGAGAAGGGCCCCCTGGTGCAGTGGTCCCCTCGCCTGGCTCCCGCCCACAGCTGGAGCAGGTAGGCCTGTGCAGGGTGTGGGGAGGAGGCCAGGCACTGGCCTGGTAAGCACACAATGAGGAATGGTGAGAGGTAAGGCCATGGAGGTGGGGAAGCAGGGACCAGGCTGCCCAAGGCTCACCAGAAAGGCGAAATGCCCTCTCCTCCCACTGTGGGCCTCCTCTTTCCTCCATGCCAATCTTTTTATTTTTTTTATTGATTTCAGAGAGGAAGGAAGCAAGAGGGAAAGATCCATGATGAGAGAGAATCATGGATTGGCTGCCTCCTGCAAGTTCCCCACTGGGGATCGAGCCCACAACCCGGGCATGCGCCCTTGACCGGAATTGAACCTGGGACCCTTCGGTTCGCAGGCCAACGCTCTACCCACTGAGCCAAACCGGCGAGGGCACCATCCCAATCTTAAGAGACCCCAGAGTTTAAGCTTCAGAAACTCTGGAGCCGAAAGGCTTGGCCTCAAGACCTGGCTCTGCCACTGACTAGCCGTGTGACCTTGGGCACACCATTTATGCTCACCCGGGCTCAGTTTGCCATCTATGAAAACGGAGGAAAAAAATGCCACCTGACTCACAGGATTGTCGAATGAGATCATGTCTGTAGAGCACTTAGCGCTGCCTAGTAGCACACTGTAAGGGCTGAATAAATGGGAGGTGTTCTTGTTATTTTCGGGGTAGACTTTGCCATCAGTGTCGGTGCTGAACCCTGGCTAGCCCCACCGAGGGGAGGGCCTCACCGCTGGGGATACAGGTCCACCAGCGAACTTCGACAGTGGCCCAGGCCACTTGCCGGAGGAGGACCTTGAGGAGACTTCTGCTCAGGTAGTAGGAGTCCGGCCCTACCTTCTGAGACCAATATGCCTCCACCCTTTGGATCTCTTCCCATGTCCACCAGCTGGGAGGAGGTGGAGCTCAGGGAAAGGAGAGCAGGATTCCTCTTTGCAGGAATCCGTTTCTACAGCCCCCCACCCCCACCCCCAGGACATGAGGGTTTGACTTTAAATGTATTCACACGAATACACATTCTCCCCAAGGGGGTCTGTGTTGTTAAAGCAGACCTGAGGGTTTGGGCCCCGAGTGAAGGGGGTGATTTTAAGCATATGAAGGGAAGCTGTTTTGGGGTGTGAGGCCTCCCCAACCTCCATCAATCAGACCACAAATGCAGGAGTGGGTCAACTGTCCCGGTGTTCTTAAAGTTGATTGTCCAAAAGGGGTGTGTGTGTGTGTGTGCGCGTGCGCGTGTGCGCGCGCGCACGCTTCGCTGTTGTCCCAGATTGGAGAAGAGGTGGTGATGGGAAGGGGAGGGAAGAGGGAAAACCTAGCTCCCCTCCTCATCTGCTGCTGTGTCTCCTCAGAATCCTGAAGTTCTGAGCCTGGGGCTCCTTGGCCTGGACACCAACCGAGCCCCCAACTGGCCTGGGCTCCAGATGCTCCTGAAGCAGCTCCCTCCTCAGGACGGCGATGTGGGTCTCCCTCTGCCCAGCGTCCCCCTTTTTACCTTCTGTGGAAGAACCCTGGTCCAGAAGTCAGGGAACATGGATTTAAGGCCCACCTATGCCACTAATTGGGGGAAGTCATTCCCCCAACCTCAGCCCAAGATTTCACATCTACATAGGGGTACAGTTACCTACATGATGGCCATTCTGCCTGCCACATTGCTTAGTTGAAGAACAAATGAGAAAATGGACATGAGCGACTTTTGAAACAAATAATGGAATGTACAAATGTAGGGAGTATGGTTAAGTATTTATTGAGGCTCTATGTGTGCCCAGGCTTATAATCAGTTGGGTAGGCAATACAGGAGAATATGGACTAAATAGGGCAAACACAATGGGAAGTGATATATATATATATATTTCACTGGGAGCAAGGACCTAAATGTGTGGTGACAGGGTTAAGTGCTTAGTGTCAGACCTGAGTGATGACAGTTCCTGGGGGAGGGGGGGGAGTAAAACTGAGGTGGGTTTACTGGCACCCTTGTCCCTGTCCCTTTCCCTTTCCATCTCAATGCCCTTCTATGCTGTTACCACCTGCACCTCCTGGAGGTTCTACAACCTTCCTTTGACCCAGCAGCTAAGCCTTCTCCACTCAAACTTCAATCTTGCCTGCTGGGGCCCTCCTGGTCACAGTGGAACCTGTTTCTGCAGGAGAGATACTGCCTGGCCCTTGGGGAGGAGGAGCTGGCTGAGCTCCGGCTCTTCTGTGCCCAGCGGAGGTGTGAGGCCCTGGGACAGGGGGTGGCATACCTCCCATGCTCCAAGAATGCACCTGTGAAAAGGTATGTAGTATCTCTCCCCCCCCCCGCCAATATTCCCCTTCCTCCACACTTTGCCCTCTCAATTCTGCAGAAGGAGCTAGCTTCTGAGGCTCTGGTGAGAAAAGGGTTTGGGGATTGACAGTATGGTAAACTTCAAGAGAAACCAAGTTTGGGGGCTCTTGGTGAGCGTGCAGTGGAGGTGGGGTTGGGATGGAAGAGCCAGGAGGGTGGTGCTGCCTCTGACCAGCCAGCACCCTCGCCTGGCAGTGCAGGGAGCGCCTGAGGCCAGGGGAATACGGAGTGTTTGCGGCCAGGGCAGGAGAGCGGCCCTGCTGGCACCAGGCTTTCTTTGCTTGCCAGGCCTGTGGCCAGGCCCTGATGAACCGCATCTACTTCTACCACGATGGGCATCTCTACTGCGGCCGTCATCATGCTGAGCTGTTGAAGCCACGCTGCCCTTTTGTGACCAGGTACAGCTCTGAGGGGAGGTCTGGTCAGGGTCCAACTTGGCAGGACGTAAGCGAGTGGAGTAGGGAGAAGCACAGCCTAGGACCTTGGTGTTTCCCTTGCTCCACTTGAGCTCTGGGCACGTGGGACCCTTTGCCTCCTCCCTCACTGCAGTGTCCCCCATATGTTCTGGGGTTGACAATTTCTCTGGAGCAGGGACTCTTGGACAGACGTCCCCATCAGTATGCCGGTGCCCAGTGCTGTGCCTTGTCATGCGAGAAACTCCCCCGAGTTAGCACAATGTTAGCGGAACCCTGGGTCGCACTCCCGGCTGTGCCACCTGCTAGCTGGGGATCCTGGCTAAGCCAATCAGCCCTCCCTGCGTCGAGAGTGGTTGAGTAGATCAAATGAGAGTGTCTGTAGACATGCTTTCGCGTTAACTGGCTATAAGGCGTGGTTACTGGATGAATGAATGAGTGAATGAATGAATGAGCCGATCCCCTCCCTCTCCCAGCTGATCTCCCCGAGCTGCACCGAGGTGGAGGGATGGCTCTGGCACGAGAACCACTTCTGCTGCCAGGGCTGCGCCGGGCCCTTGGCGGGTGGACGTTATGCTTGGCCGGGGGGCGGCCCCTGCTGCCCCACTTGCTTTGAGTGTCGCTACTCGGATGCCGGCTGGAGCCTGGCCGCGACCCTGGAAGGCAGGCCGCCGCTGGGTAAGGGAGGAAAGGTGCAGATCCAAGGGGAAGTGGGCAGAGGGAGTTCCCCCGGGCTGGGGCCCTCGACCCGGTCCCACGCTGTCCCGTCCCTCCAGCAGCGCCCCCGTCCTCCAACCGCACCCCCAAACCCGAGCTTCGGGGCCCGCAGCTCTCACCCCCCATCCCTGGCCGGA